TTATTATCCATCATCGTTAACGAACAGATCATTTCTTGTTACAACTAATAATGAATATAACTATAAATTATACAATTCTGATAGAAAAACGTGTCGAAAAATAATTTTAGATCCAACACTTGGTTCCCTGTTACGTAAAATCGATATTTTTCCTAAATTATATAAAAATCTAAATGAAGAATATATTTATTTTATAATAACAGATCAAATAGGTCTTCAGAGCTTATACCATAAAATGGTAATTTATACGATGCAATGGCTATTATAGCACATCTAAATCGTGTTTGTGATGTATGTGCTTGTTATGATCGACAATATTTATTTACAAGTAGTACAATTGATAATATCGCACATATGTCACGGGTTAATCCACCAGTATTGCATGCTCAAGCACAATTGAGTGAAAAAGATTTATTACCATTTTATAAATTATTAGGATGGATGTGGATGTGGGGATGGGGGTGGGGGTGGGGGTAGGAGTGAGTGTGAGCGTGGGTATGTGTATGGAAGTGTGTTATGCATCTATTATTACATCCACATCCACACTCACGGATAGAATAATTAAAGCATGAGATAAGTAACATGTCCTGATCTGAACGAAAAATATCTGAACCTGGAAATTAATACTAACTTTCGAGCAACTGGTAGTAGTCGGGTGAGTCATCTATATGAGACATTGATTGAGTTCAAACTATTGGTATACAAACTTGATTGCAACACTGTATGCGATAAATAAAACATAGGAAAAATGTTAATCGATATCCGATTATTGAAGAGGCACCCCCTCTCCGCTCTCGACAGCCCTGATTTGATCAAATGGTATAAAGAACAAAATTGTAGAATTGTGAGGTACAACAAGAAATATCGGCTAGTCTATGGTAAGCGAGCACCGATTGATTGGAATCTGAATGGCAAAGGTCAATGTATGAAGACTGTAATAGGAGTATCGGATAGACATAACAATGTGTTATGACAATAGTTAGAGACTCTTATTGTTGAATTGGTGACAATTTATTATTTTTGTCGTTTTAATCTTGCGTTTTCTTTTGGTCAGTTTATTCAAGAAACAAATCAATAAGAATACTTTTTTTTGCTCCAACGAATATTTTCAGATTATTCTGCGAGGCTTTATTCTCGACGTCTTTCATGTTCATAACGTTCGAAGAGATCGAATTCGATCAGATGTTATCTCGCGAAATAATATATTTAACTAACAAGGCCTACACCCTCATATGTTGTATTTCTCTACTTCCTTTTCTTGCCTCTTTTTAACATCATCGCGATTTTGTTTTTTACATTCGTATTTTGGTTTTTCTCTGTCTCTTCCTCTCTTCAACTTAGATATCTTCTGTATACAATCATGATTACTCTACTTCTGCAAACTGAGATTGAAGTCTCACAACCAAATAAATGTGAGTCAGAAGATGATTCATACGTTGGCAACCATAAATGCATCAAGAATAGTATGATCGCATGAAAGATCTGAAATATTTCTTTTTCCCCAAACTAATTATTAATCATAATCTATGAAACTGATATTGACTTCTCATCTATCAATATACCAGGAAAACATCAGACACTTATTTTGTATGTATGTTTTTCCTTCTAAAAGTCGAAGTCTAATGAATATCTGCTCAAACGAGCATGCTCGTCTATATCTGTACTCTACTAGATCTCTTCATATTGTCACGAAATAGTGAATATCACTATTTATTGTCTCATTCTTTGTAGCCAATTTTGTGTTCAGATTCATATTGATAAAAATTCTGGCGGAAGGAGATACAGAAGCAATGGATGTCAGTTCATATGTGGTCTCTTGAGGAGCTTTTACAACCTATTCAATTCCTTTCTCTCATAAGTAACAAGCAATACAGATAACCATACGAAACGAGGTGTAGCCTTACATTTTATGAATGAACTCTCAGATAAATTATCCGAAAATTTACAATTCATAGATTTCCATGTAGTTGGCAGGTTTCACTTGAAAGCGCACGCATCATTCTTTTGTCGAAATCATATTTTTGGCACAACGATTATTGTTGTGACAATCTTCATTGTACTAGCTTTGAAAAGGGAAAATATTTGATGGAACAATTTGAATGAACAAGAAGAGGAATAAGAATCTCAAATCGAAGAACATAGTAATGAAGTGAGTTGAATAAACTTAACTATCAAAATGAGTGGAATAACTTCTCATTGATCATCATAATACAATGAAACAGATTGATGGGAGAGAATTTTCATACAAAATTCAGCTGTAATTGGTTTTTTCCGTTCAGATTATGCAAATGCTTTTTGTTTTTCTTTCAGATTTCTCGATTTTTTTTCCAAACTAAGTTTTGTATGATGTAACAAGCATAACTTTGTTGATGTACGATGATACACGATGAGAAAAAACCCATAATGATGACAACATGTGTGAGTGTAGGATTTTTCCTTCTTTTTCTACCTCTTTCTCAATTATTGTACAGGTGAGACGATGTAAACGCACATGGATAATATTGAGGAGCGTGCGCGAGTAGCATAAATTACAGGGAGAGTGATGCAAACAACAATATTTTGATGTCGTATCATTTATCCGTTGCACACACATTTTCATATGAAAATACGATTGTAATAACATAAACCATATGCGAACAAACAACAGTAATATCGAAAGAGTAGACAGGTAAGAAAAACGAATACTTCAGAAAGCGTTGACTATTGAATCGTTTACTGTATGCTATTCGAGCATATTTTTTATAATGAAAATGTATGATACACAATTCTGTGTATAATGCTATGCATTTTAAACTATCTCGATCGAAATATCAGCTGCTATTTGAAACGACGAAATATTCATGTGAAGAAAAGATTTTATATTTCTTTGAATGACCTATTCTTACGATAGGTTTACGTGATTATTCAAAAAGATTGTCATTGAAGTGAAAAGTTTTATTAGCTCGAAACGAGGAGAATGAGACATTATGAAATCGAAGGTTTCAGCAAGCTTCTTTCTGATTCCTGAGCAAAAGACGCTGTTGAAAATCCTTAAAATGAAGGTTATTTTGGAAGGAACTGCGTTTATGAGTATTGCTCCTGCTTTATAAGGTAGTTCATCCTATTGTAAATGCATCTCATTTAACGATTGACGTTGCTACGTTTAAAGCCTCTTATTATCTTCTAAACCTACTGCATTGAATGATATGCGTGCGTATGAAATATAGTCTGCTCATTCTCTCTCTTTTGTTCTTTCTCCGTCCGTCTCACTCTCTAGAGCTTAACAGTAGTTGATTTTCGCTCTTACCGAGCAGTCATAGATTTTCTCATGGACTGTGAAGTTGTTAACACTGACTCGTATGTGTAAACTGTGAAGATTTACTCTCAAAAATAGAGAGCATCGTAACGGATAAGCATGTAATTTAAAACAAACAATTGATACTTTGTATTGCCATAGCTATTTTTTTCGTTTACACTGGTCATCTTTGAAACGAATGATCGTATTATTTTTATCAAAAAGATGAAGATTAAATTTGGCTCAACTGAAAATGAATTATTTAATTGAAACGAAAGAAACAGCTCTCAATTGAATAGATCGCATTTGAAATTTGAATCAGCATTCGAAAAGAATTTTTTAGTCAGGTATAAATCATGTGATTAATAGTATATTCTTGTTATTTGTGAATCGGAGGACCGTTAGTTGCGTTAGAAAGTCATATAGACAGAAATATGAGTATTTTCCAAGTGCTTTCGTAACAAATAATTTGAATTATCATCTATATTCGAATGAAAACAAGATATTATCCATTAAACCAGAATGGCTTGAAAAACTTATCTTACGCCAGTATTTTGGATACGAAATTTGAAATCGGATTAGAATTGTTTTTTTTCAACACTAACTTTGAATAAGAGAAACTATTTTCTACAAAATAAGACGTTCGCAGGAAATATATGTTGATAGAATCGATCACCTTCTCACTCAATAATTCAAATTCACTTCGTCGTAGGTTTTGGTTCAATTCAACAATATCTCTTGTATAGGGATCGCCTTATTCGGGGATCCTACATATCTATTCTCACTGTAACCGTCTTCAAAAGACCGATTTAATATTGGGTATGGAAGCTATCTGATTAAGACTTCACACCGATACACAATATTATGTCAGAGAACAATCACATCGTTTAGAATAAGAAGGTCATAGAATTTTGAAAGAGTCTTCACGAAATTAAAAGGATAAAAAATACAAAATTTACAATGTGCATTTTAATATAAAGTACATCCTATCATCGTTTTTGTGGGACTGTAATATTTCATAATCATTCTATTTAGAGACAAATCACTCGACACTTGATGGCTTTTACCTGTATTCCTGTCAGATTCGACTATTCTTCGCATTCGATAAGATGGCTTCCGAAAGCAGACTATCTTATTCAGAAGGAATGATTTTTTTATGCTTTCGATGGAGTGAGAACATACATTCAATTTCTTATTAACATGAGCGGAAAAACGAAGCCTGTTCTGGCTTGCTCCACAATACTTTTTCATTCTAGTCACAAAGAAATCACTGTCACCAAATGCGAGCTTTTTTTCTTTCAGAATAGCATCAATTTCTTTCAGCTTTCCTTCGAACAATTTGTACGTGCAATCATGCTGATTATAAAAGCGGTACTCGTCGGTGATCGGTAAGTGTTTTGCTAAGATAAATATAAAGATCATACTGGAATATGCAATGAAAAATTATCTTCGAAATTCTCAGCTGTTTTAACATTATGTTTTTTGAGAATAGACTGAACTGATTATAATTTGACTAAATACCGTAGATCCTATACAAACGAGAAAGATTTAAGTTTCTTGAATCGTTCGTACGTCTTTCTTTATTTAGTGAAGCTGATAAAACAACTTTGTCGATTGCTTATCAACGAAATGGATTACCAGGTACATTTCGTAAATGTATATCTATTGCTTCAAAAGTTGATTTGTCTATTTTCTTTTCACTAGAATGTGTACCATGTGTGGCAGAGGATCAAGACATATGGTTTACTTATAGCAATACACAAATTCATCTACGAGTTATCGATACGGTATGCAAAATATATGGAAGATGCGTATTATCTTAGTATAAGAGATATGCTTTTATTCCTGTCTTCTATGCGTTGCCTATTACTCATTATCTCATACTCTTAGAAAAGAATAGAACATTTTAAAAAAAAAAGATTAACAACACGAATTCAAATCTAAGTTGTTCACTTGACAAAAGCTTTGAAGTCGAATTACAAAACCAATTTCACGTTTTCGACTTGAAATATGTGGTTCTTTTACTCTAGAGAACAAAATAACAGAAATATTTCCATTTATCTAAACAACGTGGAAGAATCGGTTCGATACTAACGACAGTCCTGGAATAAACCATCATTTTGGCAATGAGAGTGTGCCGTGTGTCTCATATTGATCGAACGAATAACAAGTTCAAATTTGTTAATAGTGTGAGGATGTACCTGTCATTTGTCTCATGAAAAATTTGAAACTGTCCTTGATGGTGTTTGTGGATTCTAGAGACCTGTTGGTTGCTTTTCTTTTCGTCAAACAGTGACTGGATTTCTAATCGATTTGAAACACTAAAATTCGAAAAACTCATTCTTTTCTCTTCGATTTTTAAAATCGTATGTCATGAATATAACAGAAATTTTCTACTAAATGCTTTTATTTTCTAGGCTGGAGAGGAAGATTTTCATAATCTACGACCACTTACTTATCCGAGGACAGTGAGTGACCCATTATTTTCTTTTCAATAAATGATTTCATTTTTCTTCAGGATGTCTTTATACTTTGTTTTTCACTGGTGCATCCACTAACTTTTGAAAATATTGAAGAAAAAGTAATAGTAGATTCTCATTTTGTGATTCGCATATCAGTAAAAATGATTTTTTTTTCTAAAAAAAAATTTTAGTGGTATCCTGAAGTAAGTGAAATTATGAATTTCTCCATTGTCTTTGAATCGTTTAGTAATTAAAGATTAAACATTATTGTCCAAATGCTGTTACTGTATTGGTAGGAACAAACTTGGAATTACGTGACGATACTGGAAAAGTCTCGAATTTGGAAGTAAATATTATATTCGAAATCATGATATCATGTTTTTAGCAGTATATTTTATTGAAACCTTCTAAGTCATAAGACTTTCCTGACAGTTCTCATCTTAAAGTTTTCTTTTGTATCTATTCTTTTTTTTTCTTTCTTTGAATTGTTAGAAATTACAAAGAAAACCAATTAGTTTTCAACAAGGTTGTTCGATGCAAAAACGAATTCAAGCGCAATCATATATCGAATGTTCGGCTGCAACTATGAAAAATGTCAAAATATTATTCGAAGAAATTGTACCGGCCGCAATAATGAAGTCACAAGAGAATTTTAGTTCAATATGGCCAAAAGGATTTTTCAAGGTAGATGAGAGAATTTCTAGGAAAATTAACAGCGAAAATTCGGCACTACCACATTATTATCAGTAACGATAAGATGATTGATATTTTCTAATGGAAGAAAACTGATCGATCAACAATATGGAAAGTTTTGGCTAGCCTTATTTTTTTCGATCAAACCTTCTTCCTAAATTTTAGTAATAATTCTAGAATTCATTAAATCCCACTTTCAAAGATTCAACTTTACTAAATTAATAAAGCTCATCATATCTATTTTGGACTTGCCGATTTTCAAGGGAGTTTTAAAATCTAAAACTCACATTTTAATCGTTTGTTTTGTTGTATAATATAGCCTATGGTACGGCCTCAAGCGAAAATCAAATGATAATATATGAGTGAGAAATTTAGCTAAAGATAGGCCTCATTTAACTAAAATGTCTTGCAAGTCACATTCTGTTTCAGAATATCATGAGGAAAAAATATTTCTGTCTTTAGCTACAAAACATTTGTGTGAAAAGTAAGTCTCTATTTGGTCCCATTCCGTATTCATGTATCATCATCATTCGATTTTTGTTAGACTTCGTCCAATAAGCAATGTTTACGCTAAAATGACAACAATGGTCAATGGAGGTTCTAAAGACATTTATTTGTCTGAGATTTTATGAACTAGTTTATATCAGTTGCCGAGCTCGAAATCCCAATCAATGAACGATATTTTTTTATCAAATTTTGTCTACAGTTGTGTCGACTAAATCGACTTTGTAATAGAATGTAATATTTCAGCGCTAGGATACATTTTGCCATTTTGAAAGAATAAATAATTCATAACAAAAACACCAAAAGTTATTAGCCAATAAGAAAGAAATAAACAAACACTCTACTGAATAGTATCAATTAAGTAAATCGACAGAGTTTCAGCAAATTTTTCGAATTGCTAAGTATGAAAGAATAGTCAACTAAATGGAAAATTATGAAGTGCAATCGAACTTCAAATTTTTATTTTATTGTTCCACTTTCTAGAAACTATCATCTACTTTGACAATATCTCATCAGAAAGATCGTACATTGCTAAACTCTCCGGTGAAAGAGAACATCATTGTTGACGAGGCAGCTGAATTCAATTTAGAAACAGGTGAATAATTTAATCCTCAAACATTCTTTAATGTTCTCTTACTATAACGGCAGTATGTACCGTTGTTTTAGAGAAAGTGGAAACATGGAATGTTTCGCAAGTCTATGAATGGATCAAAAGTTTAGATAAAATGTATGAAAAGGATGCTGATAAATTTGTTTCATATGGTATTAATGGACAAATGCTTTTATCTGCTATTGATGATGAAAGTTTACAAGGTATTGGCATTATGTCCGTCATGAAGAGACAAAAATTACTACTAACAATTAACAATTTAAAGCAGAAACAGCTAGAATCACAATCGATGAAAGCATCTTCCAACGAGGAACCATTGAGTATTGAAAAGACATCAAAACAAGGGGAGAAAATCGATTTGTGATTTTGTGATTTAAAATGATTTAACGTGATTTAAAATTATTTAACATGATTTAAAATGATTTATAAATCATTTTACATCATCAAAACTCATTTTTGTATATGATTTAAAGTGATTTAAAATGATTCAATTTTGATTTTTCAGATGATTTAAATCAGTTTCTTCCCCTAGCATCAAAAGCAGTTTTCTATCAGCAATTTAGGGGTGATTTTAATTCACCATTTCCTAATGATCAATTCATAGAAGGTGAATATAAAAATCTATCATCTTGTGCGTTGTTAGCTGATAATTCACAACATGTCAATCTATATTCGCGTATTCAACAATGGATTGATGATTTGCCAAACGGTTGTACTATAGACAATATTTCATTAATAAAAAATTCAGCTCGTTATCGCATGTTTTTACATTAATTGCAAGATTTCGAAGCATGACACGATCAACCGACTTTTCAACCGAATTTATACTATGAAAATGACCAAAAAGAAAGAAAAAAGTTCTTGAAAGACTTATGAATCGATGTAAGCAAGTCGAGCATAATCGAAAAGCAAATATTGTACGTATGTGGTATGGATGTTCAAAAGAAACTTTGCCATATTTATTAAATAATGGATTTGCTACGGTTAGTTAAGTTATTGATGATTGGTATGATAAAACGATGTATTTTATGTCATCAGCAAAATATGCAACTCATTATAGTGGTCACACCGGTTGTCTTATATTATGTTATATACTGATTCTGAATCCATTTCCGGTTATATCATGTGACGTTCCACCTAATGTTCCACTAGAAAATTTTTGTTTTTATGGAAAAGGAGGTATTCATAGAGGACGTCGGAGGAGAGACGGGTAAGTTCGGATAAACGGTAAGGAGATCCGAGACTCTGACTTACAAGGGAGGTACTCCAACTGATTCCGAGCTTTCGGCTTCATATTTTGGCTATAGGTAGGTCTCAGTGAGACTAAGAAAATCCTAGAAGCATTCGTTCCCATGAGGTGCCAATCCAAAGTTATAGGTGTTTTGCTGAAATTTTAGCCTATACCACGCTATTCACAGCAAATTCAAATGAAGGTATTTCGATCTGATATTCTGACTACAAAAAGATCTAATGATTCCTAGTATGCACCGAAATTTTCAATTAAAACGGATGCTCCCTTCTTGAGATATTCAATTTGCAGGACAGCTCCATTATTCTGACCTGTCTGTTATAAGCGAATATTTTTTGAAAATTGAATATCTCAAGAAGGGAGCATCCGTTTTGATTGAAAATTTCGGTGCATACTAGGAATCATTAGATCTTTTTGTAGTCAGAATATCAGATCGAAATATCTTCATTTGAATTTGCTGCGAATACCGTGATATAGGCAAAAAATTCAGTAAAACACCTATAACTTTGGATCGGCACCCCATGGGAACAAACGCTTTTAGAATTTTCTTAGTCTCACTGAGACCTACCTATAGCCAAAATATGAAGCCGAAAGCTCGGAATCAGTTGGAGTAGTTCCCTCGTTAGTCAGACATTTCCGCCAAATAACGTGGGAATGCCGATTTCTATTTTCTGGAACTGTATATATCTCATCAAATATACCGGAAAAGGTGGAAATCAATTATTTCAATAAGATTGACGCCTCAAGAAATGTGACTGAACAGTTTCGCTGTGTTTCTGTTTTCAGAAATATGAAAAATAGCACTCCCACGATGCTTATCCCGGGTTTCCTCTCATCTGTTTATATGATCAAGTGTTATTCTACACGAACACTTTGTTTATTTTAAAAACGAACTATCTGTTTCAAACGTCTAGAATTTGGTTAGATTTCTGCGAAAACTGACCGTGTCAATAGTAAAGGGATCCGGGAATAAAAAGAAACGATTGCTGATAGGATGTTCTTTTTCAATGGTTCGAAAGAAAACTATCAAAATTATCAATGTCATTATATTCCTGTTTCACCAACTTACGGAAAGGATAAACAAACTCCGATGGATTTTCGTCCACCGATAAATGGAACTGAGAATGCAATTTTCGATGAATTAGCTGTTTTTCAAGAAGTCGATATTCTACTACAAATTGTTGTTCATTTAAGATCGGATAATACAATAACATTTTGATTACAAAAAAATAAAAGTTTTTGATAATGTTCAAAAATAATTCTGCCGAGTCTGATGTGCGATTGATCCTCTATGTTCTCGAAAAGCGAGGGTATGAAAGAAAAACTCCGTTAATATGTTGATTAGTATTAATAGTGAATAAAATCAATGTCTGTAAAATAGAGAGAGCCAATTCAGTTTAGAAATAAGTGAATTAGTGCCCCATGAATGTCACTGGCGATGTTTTGGCAAAAGGATGTGGGTGTGGGTGTGAGAGTCGGTGGGGTATGTGTGTGTCGTTCTTTCCTTCGACATCATACCTCACGCCCACAGCTATAGTCACACCCACACATTAGTGCTGGTGGATTCTAGAGATGTCCACAGGGCAGGACAAATCTGCTCTACTACAGAGCAGGGCTTAGATTTTATATGAGTTCTACCCTCTTATTTTGCAGGGTAGAGTAGAGCAGGAGAAGATCTTTGTGCCTTGAAAATTCTAAACATTAGCTTTAAAAAACAGAGGCATTAGGATTTGCTTCTAAGATGTTAAGAACTACATAGAAAAGTAACATAAGTATCGGTATCCAATATTGCTTAGGACTCTTGTATATCTCTAAAAAACGTATATTTCAATGAAAATAATAAAAATGAAATGGAAGAAGAAAGAATCATTGCAATGGAAACAATATTTGTAAGTGTTGCTGACTTTCTTACTATTTGAATGCTTCAAACAACCGAAAAATATGAATTCAATATCTGCTAATGCTGCTTTATTTCATGATATTCATTTTTCCGCTTCTGCTGATGTGCACCTATTTCATCATATACAGTCGATCAATTACAACGAGGATAGTTGTGAATGCGGATGTCGATGGAGATAAATGAATGCTATCTCTCTTGTCACCTATGCACTAGAGTCCAGTATTGGTTTCAAAATAATTTTCAGGAGGGTGTGGGGTGGGGTGGTGTGGGTGTGTGGGTGGGGTGTGGATGTGGGTGTGGGTGGGGTGTGGGTGTAGGTGTGGATGTGGGTAGGAGTAAAGAGAACCCTCCTACCCACACCCACACCGCTCCTTACAAAAGAGACAAATTTTTTCGAAACGTTACTATAAATTTCCCAATATTTCATCAAAAAAAAACCGATGATGGGGGGGGGGCGGGGGTAGCGCGGTTGGAGTGCCCTGTACCCCTCCCCCTTCAGGGATGTCCCAAATTTCGGAAAATACTGTACAAAAATTTTCTGGACACTGATCACGTGATCAGTCAGTTTGACCACCACCGCCCCCCCCCCCTACGTGATTTCTGAATGACCCCATATTTATAAAAGAAATAAGAAAGGAACATTTGTTCCGAATGTATTTCCTACTGTTTTTGTTCGTTAGTAAATAGATGAGAAAATAAGAATCTATTTATTCCTACCAATAATTACTATTTTCGATGGCGTATAATACACGTGATGAGATTTATGATATTACAGGTTCAAATTTACAAATATGTTTTGTTAATGAACATCATAAGCAAATGAATTATCTGATAATGATTTATCTACACAATCAAAAAATTTAAAATCCGATGAAATAAATTTATCTATGATAGAAAATAATGATGAAGATATTCTTGCAAAACAACAAAGATTAAAAGTAAAAATCAATTTATGTTATTTTAATAAAATTTTTTTTTCTTTTATAAAGGAAGAAGCTAAAGTTGCTCTTGTACTTGGCGCAAAAATGGCACGAATGCAAGTACAAATTGAACGACGAGCTTTAAAAAAGAAAAAATCACCACTTTATGATATTGTATTTAAATTACAATTTGTTTTTTGATTAATACTCGTTTCTTTTTTTTTTTTTTAATTAAAGATTGGTATTAATACGAATGATGATAAACCATTAACTCTTCGAATGCTTGAAGATATGAATATTTGTCAATTACAAGTTATTGTTAATGATTTACATTGTCAGATTGAAGGTATATCTGATATATTATAAATAAAAAAAAATAATAAAATTGTTATGCTCTTTGTTATTTACGTATTTAAGGTCATAATGAAGAACTAGTCAATCTTTTAATGGAAAGAGATTCATTAAGTATGGAATAAGATTCAATTCTTGTTGATATTGAAGATTTAACAAAGTAAGAATTAAAATTTTAATAATTTGATATACTTTTCTTTTTTTGTTAAAAAATTCTAGACGTTTACAAGAACGTGCTGCTAGTTTATCACCAGAATCAAAACGAACATCAACAAATGGTGCAGCACAACGTATTTATATTGTAAAATCATCAACAACACAACAACAAGATGTACAGAAAAAATCTATTCTTCATAATCTTTTACGTAAAGCTACTTTTACTTAAATTATTATTCGATTTATTGCCGGTTTGCTTTTCTATATTAATTTAATGAAATGAATGTCCATGTCCGTGTGTGTGTTTATTACATTTCTTCGTAAATTTATAGCGTTAAACTTAGGATTTCTTTTTTTTTTCATGGCCTATTGGTTCGACTTGTTTTTTTTCTTTTTCATTATAAAATAAATGTTTTGCAGTTTGAAGAATGTTTCAACAGACTCAACTTGAAATAATTATTAATATAAGTATTAGTGTGAACGGAAATGTTGTAACATGTCTAGCAAAACTTGTGACGCTTCGTATAAATCTAATTGATCTACCGCCGAAGCTCTAACGATTTAGATGCTACAAGAGAAAAATAGATATTTGATGCTCAAAAATTGTTACTAAAAAATATTAAATAAAATCTGAAGACTTCAAAAAGTAGTAGCATGAATAAATACTAATGAAAATATATCTGCAGGATATTGCTAAGTAATTATTAAACTTTCTGATCTGATGTATAACTAAGCGGTGGTACCATTCATAGAAAAGATAAATAAAATTGATGTGAAGACATTGATTAAAAAGTCTAGAATCGTATGAATATTAAGAACAATCTTCATTTATATAAAGAGTGGCCAAGAAATCTTCACTCGATTTGAATAATAAATTTTTCGTCAGTAAAAAAAACATGATTAAAAATTTATCTCTATGATGAAAAGATGGAGTAAACCACGCTCTACAAAATGACTATTGATTGACCCCCATTACCTCGTATAGTAAGAAAGTTAGAAGCTTACAAATGTGCTTCATAAAAAATAAAAATTAACCTTGTACTCGGTCTCGATTCTGTAGAATAAATTCTTTCTTTAATCGAAGCGTTGTGAAATTATCTTATATGCGAGGAAAAAAAAAATAAAAACGTTGTAAGATTGTTATTGGTTTTCTCACTTAAACTTTTTCTTTTCGTATTATTTCCGTAAAACAACATAGCAAAACTGAGAACTCAGTTAAGCTTAGTACCTTCAAATATACACTCTTTCTCTTGATCCGTAAAAATTTTTATTTACAAAAGATTGTGTACTGGAAATCCAAGCTTGAAAAATAAATCAAAAATCAATGTCCTCGTTTTCGACAATGTACTCGCAAGAAACAGAAAATGTGATCGAAGTTTTGATGCTGCAACTAGATATTTCAATGTGATTTTAAGCAATAAATGTTGGTTAAAAAAGCATACCGATGACTTTGCTCTTCTTATTCATTTATAATAAGTGTTCCTCTCATCGACTACACGTATTCAACTAAAAGAATCATATTGTGGATGTTGCTAATCATTAATATAAATGGACAGAATGATGAATATTTCACTGTTACATATAGCGGAGACGAATTCGGAATCAGAATTCGATAAAAAATTTTTGAGAGAGAACGAATTAGAAACAATTTTTTACGTGTATTAAACGATGGGGACGAGTTCGGAATCATTTTTGGGGGTCCAGTTCAGACAATTAAAAAGGGGAGGAATCAGGAGTAATCCATTTGAATATAGCATTTAGAGAAAAACGATTTTGTACTCTCGAACTAAATTAATTTTTGTTGGAGAAAAAAAGATAAATCGTTCTTCTGGAATCAAAATAAAAGTGGTGAAAAGATCATTTGAATTAATCTTTATCAGGAACTATAGTTCATTCCCATTTTCCTTGAAATTAACTCAAAAAAACAAAGAAAATATTACATTATTAGACGAAAAAGATGTATGATGACATACTGAAGCTCTTTAATTGGAAAGTGGACGATTTATTCATCTCTATTTATTAACAAGAAGCGGCTACTAGAGATTTATTTTTTATGGATTTATTGGGTTTTTTAAAAATTCCCGGATATTTTTTCACTATCGTTTATTCTATAATTTATTATGTCTTTCATTGGATTAATCGGCATACATCTCATTATCAGTTATTCCTTTGTTGATCAATCTTTTTCCTCAACATTCATTCTATGAAAATTATTCTGTTACGAACCTTGTTTTCATCTATGTTGCTACGATAAAATAATATTTTAGCGAATCAATCTTTTTCTAGCGGATGTATTCTAGACACAATCAGATCTTAGAAAATGTTTTACATTTAACTTCTTAATATGAATTGATTCCTCAGTGAATCGAGTCTGTTTTCTTCGAATTTATTCGACCATAAACGAGATCAGGCCTTACTGTACAGTAACAGAACGAATAGAGAACATTTGAAAAGAGTATATTTGAAAGAAAGAAAGAAAAGATAAGTGCGACAGGACAAATGGAATCATCTATCATCTATATGTCTTTCTAGGTTTAACAGTTTAATGTAAACAAAAACACTTTTTCTCTACTGAAAAACTTGACTGTATAACCTATGTATCACCGTCTGCAACGAGTCAAGAAGAAAATAAATCTTAGAATTTTAAAAACCATTCAAATAAATCTTGGGACTCACAAAGAATCCAAAAAAATCCCGAAAAAGAAGTAAATCTCTGGATTTATTAAAAAATCTCAAAAAAAGTGCTGAAAACGGCTGTATTTCAATCGATCTAAAACAAACAAATCTTATTCTTCTTTACTCATTCAATTTTATTTAATCCGAAAAGGATCGATGTTGACATCCGAATTCCTCACGTTCTTGTGTTTTTACAATGCATTGATCAAGTCAATATTAATATATTTAAATTCCTTTTCACTATTAGAATAGAATGTTTTTCTCAGCTGATACAAAGCAAAGTGCATTTTTAATACGATAGAATCTCATGTATCACTTACTTTAGAGATCGAGATGTTATAGTGCTACTATTTTCATTTGACTCATCACAAAGCACAGATAAAAAACTACTATTTATCAGTGGAAATTCTAGATTAATCGGATTTTTTTCATACATTAAATTACTTATTTCATTTTATTTCATCTTCATTGTTAAAACTAATTATACGATAAAGGATCATCTAGAATGAATGTTGAATCGACAATCGCTTTTTCGAGATATCCCTTAAACACAACGGATAGAGGGTAGTAGGTAAGGAAAAATAACGAGGTCATTTTTTCTAAAAATGATTGGCTTGGTGGGTATCTAGATCAATAACTGATGGATTGGTTACGCAGTCCATAAATGTCAAAAGAAAATCCAATAGATACATCAAATTGATGGATTTCAATAAATGTCTGTCTTATCACTTTAGTAGTCGGTCATTGAAAAATAAAACATAGGTTTTATTATGTTACCTTGTCCATCCTATCATATGATATTCTATAGAAAAATCAACAACAAATCTACTGGTGTCACCGGTGTTTTTCTTATAGGCACTTTTTTTCTATGTATTAAGAATTGACAAACGTTTAACTTTGATCATTTTCACTAGTAAAAAGCAGTTAATTTATATATTCAACAAAAAATATCTGACAACAAAAGATGACTAGGTATAGAGAAGTCTATTTCGTCGAAAATGTTCAGTATTGATTATTCCACGATGAACCATAATAGATGAATTACATGCTTCAAGAAATCATTATCGAATGAAATACAACTATTCGCTTGGATGACATGATCTAAATAAACAACATAGTAGAAAAATTTTTTGATATCAAATGGCTACATAATCTCTTACGAATTTCCTTTAATATTTGTTTTGCAAATAATTTTTTTGCATTGGATTCATTTAGATTTTCTTTTAATTGTTCTTCGATTGTACGTAAATTATTTTCACTAATACAAATATTTGCGAAAATTTTCGCTAAACGTGTAAGGTTTTCTTCAATTGTAATTTCACCAATAGTATTGAACACTTCCACCATCACTTCCTGGCCTTCCAAAATTTGATCAGCCATTGCTTGTTCAACCACGGGCACAATATTCTGATCAGTCATAAATTTCTTAATAAAACATCCAACTTTTTTCGATTGTTCAGCTTGCATGTTACGTATTACCTAAAATATGAATGAACGTTTATCATCTTTATAGTATTGAATATTGCGCAGGAGAAGAAGAAAAACAAAGTTAAGCCAATTTGTTTAATGACCTGTCTATGGGGTCAAATAGAATAAAAAAAAAATACAACGAATTAAGCAATGTGATTGGTCTGTTCCGGCTTAAATCATCTTTTTCAGACTATTTACTCGTTAATTTAGTCTTAGTTCATTTTAATTCGTCTAGTCTGTTTGGGGCCTATAGTGACAACGAACTAAGGAAAAAGAAAAGGAAAAATTTCTTTTCTTTAATATTTGCCGACAACAAGAAAACAAACATACTTCATCTTTTAATCGAATCTTCGAGACCAGTTCAATAATCGAACGATGATTTGGATCTAAAACAAACTGAGAATCGATCACTTGTTTGAGAAAAATATACGAGCACTTACCAGATTCATTTAATTTATCCAATAACAATTTTTGTTTTGAACTATCAAGATCAAAAATATTGCGTGAGCAACAATTTCCAAAATTAACCAAAATATCGTCGTCCATGATTACATCATTTTTTTTACCTAGCGTGAAATGAAATAAAGTAATCGTATATTTTTTTTCACCCATATCTGTGATTTTCCCTTCCATATCTATTATTTTCCCGAGTTTAAAACCAGCTAAATAGAGGTCATAGACAGATTGCAATCATATGAGAAGCTCCAATAATAGCCTTACAATCATGATTTGTAAACGCGACAACATCATTAATTGAATTTTGTTTATTATTCGATTGTTGAACAGCATCGTGATCAAAAGAACTGTTTATGTCTGTTGTAGTTGAAGTAGGCATTGTTAACAAGAGAGAAGAATAATTGAAATTAATAAATAGATCATTTTCAAATGTTAATAAATAGTGGCGGAGCCAGGATTTTGAGCTGGGGGGGGGGGGCTCAACCCCCTCTGAGGGACCTTTGAGCCCCGGTTAGCAAATAAAATACATGGTTTAAAAATTTTCCTGGGAGGGGCTGAGCCCCCCCCCCCCAGCCCCACCCTGGCTCCGCCACTATTAATAAATCATTTAATTTCTAATTGGTTATT